GTGGCGCGGGATTAAGCAGGGGCGGGGCGCGGGAGGGCGGCGCGGCCCGCCGGCAGTCGAACAGCGAGCCCCGCGGCAAACGCACGCGCCAGTCGCGCAGTGAACAGTGAATCCAGTGCCGTGTGTGTATGTGTGAGTGCGGGGCCCCGGCGGCGGCGGTGGCGGAGCGGTGCAGTGGTGCGCCGGAGCAGTCGGGCGGCGGTATGCGGGCCCGGCGCCCCGCGCCTGCGCCTGCGCCTCGATAATCCGATGCGCGCCCCAGGGCGCCGCGCGACCCTGCTGCTCGCACTCGCCCTCGCCTGCCTACTGCGCGTACGTCCACTGTACTACCCCCGATGACCGTCAACTGTCCTATTATTAACAGCTACAATTAGTAATTAAGAAGAGTTCATTACAAATTTAATATTTCGACAGTGATCGAAGTGATATAAAGTTAATTCTCCAAATATTTAAATCAAACAGATACTATTTTTTTTCACGCTAACAATGATGGTTTTATAGCCAAGACTGAATGACTACAAAACGTAAGACAGGATATAGCACCAGCTAGAACTAATTCGGTTAACACTAGTTATTCCAATGAAAAGTAACCCCACTGCATTTCGTATTGAACTAAAAGTGAAGAAGATACAAGTAATTCTAATACACCAAATTTATAAACCAGAATTCACGTAGAATTATCTATCGAGATTTTGCCACGAAGCCCAATCCGCATGGAATTCGAGCACTAGCATCCGCGGTACGTGACCTGACGGCGCCGCCTGCGTCCGCGCGCGCTACGTGCGCTCGGTGACAATTAGCTGCTTCTGAGAAAAATGCGTCCATAAGCTCACACTCGCGGAGACGAAGATAACACCACCAAAGCCCTGTCCAAATAATTCGCCGAAGCAAAGAAATGATATGAAACCATTATGCAATTAAACATCTAAACCGAATCGACAAGATTTAGAAATATTAAATACAAAGTTAAATGTAAACATTGCTGTTTTTACAAAAGATAAATATTCCCATCCTGCAAGAAATATAATGAAAACTATGTTTCAGTCATGTTACAAAATACATAAAATAAACCACAATTCAAAACCAACAGTAGAAAGCTCAAAATAATGAAAGATAACACAGAAACATATAAGTTCACCAAAACGATATCGTTTGGGAAAGTTTCCATAAAAGCTCAAACATTTTATTGTTACATAGCGCTTGAAGTTAATGCATTATTCATGTGCGCGGCCTCTGATGGGATCAGCGCGCTCGCAGCACAACATCACTCGCTAACAAAAACAAATAGGTACATTTAAGAATTCTTTAGAAACTAACCGAATTCTTTGTTTTAACAATACATCAATAAATAACTAAGGTTTACTGAACTTGAAATTGTTACGATATCGCATTTTTATATTAATTAAAATCATGACAATTTCAAGTTTTTATAAAACAATCATAAGGAATTATTATAACCAAAAAGTGATTACAACAGTTAAAAATAAAGAAGTATATAAATAAGAACAACAACAGGTTTCTTTCCGTAGCCAGCACATACCCTTTGTTATAAATATAAGAAGATCAATTATTTATATGTCTGTAGATAGTTTGTTTTGAGAACACAGACCATTAGTCAAACCGTGATATTATCAGGATGGGAAAATCTCTCTTCGTACTCTAAAAAGGCAAAAGACGATACGGTATCTATTGTACGAGTCAACTCTGCTTGATCTCTAGTCTTTGTACAAATATCAAATATTGTAGCTGATACGATTAGAATATCATGTAAATTATACAATTTTAGGTCTAGTAGTCGTTATAAAATTTTAATTGCATAACTTTAAGTTGGTTTTTCAATAAACTGGTCAAAATAACTCTATTCATTCAAACTCTACATTAATATTCATCATGCACAACGCATTATTCGTCACAAAAAGTGTCAACTCGTACTGAGTATAATTATCCACGATCGAACAAACGTGATAAAATAGTTGTAGGGGCTGTTCGGTCGGCGCGTGCGACGTCGTCGGGCCGCTCGCTCGCTGCGGGCGACGCGTGCGTCCGTAAGCACACGTTTTAAAATTAATTAAGGTTAATTCTACTATTTATCTTTCTTGTGCTTCTGAAGCAAATCTTGTTTGTGATACTCCATTTATTGCAAAAGTACGAATAAACGCTTCAATGTTAAAGCATTTAATGATAAGATATTTAAACTATTAGTCATCTCCGAAAATACCAAAGACCGACATGTCGCAATCTCAGTATGAAAGCTTTAAAAGTGTTAATTGTATAAATAAAGATAATAAGTAAAGAATAGATCTAAATATCGATAGATCTAGTATGAGAAGGCATGCCGAGAAGCCCCGAGAACACTTGAGACTCATTCACGAATATTTGTCGCCAGGCTCGGCGAGGCTATAAGACCTATGTAAGGCCTAAAAAATTGTTATAGTAAAAAAACATTAAAATTATAGAGCTATTCGAAATTTGAAGAAGAGTGAACAGCAATATGATTTGAGCTTTAAGAAACATTACAACACAACTTCATACTGCACAGAGATGCAAAGAATGGTAGGATTAGTTTATGATAAATATAATATCAGATCCATATATTTAAAGCAACAGACTATAAATAAAAATAAAATGACATCTGTATTTGTGATAGAAAAAAAAAAAACTAAATGCTAAAAACCAACAATTTGCTGCGATAAATTGAAGTAATCGATATTTAACATCAAATAGAAATAAAACTAAATTAGCTATGAAAATCTAATCAATGATAGTTAATTAGATTTATTTCAAGGAGGTGAGCCAATCTCTGAGCCATTCTTAATTTGGTAACTTGTACAATCAACATTGTTCATTCATTGTGTTCCAACAAAAGGCGCGTCTTTTCTTCCACCACAATGACAGATTATGAGATTAATTCACGTAACGCTGATTCATCATTATTATAAACCATCTTGCGAACAAAAAACGAGCTTCGTAAAGAAGTCCGTCGTCATCGTTACTTACCAACGTTACATCACTCACACATTTTACGGCTAATAAATTAATAACATCGCGATGACGGACTGAATCTGATGAATGTTCAAAATATTCAATTAAATTATACTATTTAGATCTATAAGCACCGATCTTGGTTTGAAGAATATAAATTTGAAAGCCAAATATCTACGCCTGTACGTAGATGAGCTCGAGTATTGAAAGATTGTCCCGGCTGATACTGCCAAAAGTGACAAAATAAAATTGCAAATGTGACGAAACAAGATATTTTGCATTAAGTGTAAAGAGGTTATTTGCTGGTCACTCTAACTACACCCAAAGCAAACTCAGCACGGACACGAGTGTCCTCCTGTTCATGCCCCTGCACGAGAATAGCTGTGTCATCAGCATATGTTACAATTTTACAGTTCGAAAGAGGCAATAAAAACAGGTAGATCCAAGGACGCTAAACTGAAGCACCAGATATGATAATCCTATCGTTGCTTGTAATATTGTCAATGGGCACATTTCATTTGCCAAACCTCGTATACCCAACCTCTGTAGTTTATCCAACGAGAGAGGCAGAGAAAGTGTTGAAAGCTTTCGATATGTCAAGGAAGACAATGATTTCTGATTACGGTAAATTTTTGACTATTGATTTTGTAAGTTCAAGTATTACATCTTATATTGTTGTAGATTTTCGTGACCTAAAATCAAATTGATTTGAGGAAGAATATTTTTTAAATTGTAATTAATCTTCTAATTCATATTTTTCTTTAATTTTCGAGAAAACTGTAAGTACAGAATGTCCTTAAATGTCCTTAAGGCCTATTTATCAGTTTAATAGTGTTGGTTGTCAATGCAAAAGTAAGAATTCTCTATAATGTGGTATTGATTAGTGAATTTTGATTTCTGCTGGCATTTATCGATGAATCGTCTCTATGTGAAATAAATACAGCTTTTAGCGATGAGTTTGAACTGAACCGATGAAGTGGCCACTAGACCATTATGTGTCCGCAAGGACACATCAGCTGAAATTGAATATAGAACGAATAAATTATGACTTTATTATAAAATTTCTTCACATATACCAGACGCATAAAATTTTATTCAATGACCAATATAAATGAATTGTAGTTTACATAGAGTAAGGATGTAAGCCCTCAACCATACCAAGAATTATCTTAAGAAGTTCAATATAACAATTGTAAAACCTCGAATATCACGCCGCCTTATTTTAATATAAAATGCAGACTGTTACTCGTTGGTACTGTCAATTTACATTGGTGTAATATACATATGTAATAGATCAAGTTGTTTCCGTCCTAAACACAATATCTCACACTTACACGGTGGTGATGTATCCAAAGAAATAATTTTACCGAATAATGCGATATCTTCTGTAACTTAGTTTATAAAATAGCAAGAAGATTCATCAAATTACGTGTATCTTTTCATATTTGAATTACTCTATATTTCCGACTATTGATCAGTTGACTTTGAATGCATTCTCTTATTTGGAGGATTGAGCAACATCCATACACGCACACATACGGCTAGTAATGATATATATATTTTACATATACGTCACGTGCTAACTAGCTGGTGTCAGTTTTTATTTTATTTTGGATAAAAAACGGTGGCGTATATTCTGTTTACAGTTAATTTTGCAAACAAACAACCGCAACACGTGCGTGACATCCATAGTTTACCGTTGCATAAACACTCGGTTGCACAAACATCCATAATTTTCTTTTTTTAGTTTAATGTGAAATTATTAAATCAAATGTTCAAATTTTCATACATCAATTTGAATTTTCATCTACCGAAACTCTGAAAATGTCGCACAAGAATTACTGACCAAAAACTCGCCAAATATTATTAAGTAAGCACCGTGTTCACCTGATATGATACAAAAGACAGACGTCTTTTTTATTATAAGCATAAATTTCCACGTCAAGGCAGACATTATCAGTCGATAAATGACAAAAATCATTTAAAATAATTTTGACTGAATTGTCAAAATTATTTTTATGGTGAGTAAAATAAGTATTATTTGAGAAGGCGATACTAAAATTCGGATCACTAATACATATCTCAATGACTAATTCCCGGTTCTTTCTTGACAGTAATTATTTATATTCAAAAATAATTAACTCGATAGACATCAGACTGACTAAAACATTGGACACTGTATGAATAATTAATCAAGCGTTTTGAATCGCTTTGTTATATAATGCTATACGAATTACTTCTTTACAACCGTTTACATCTCGTTTAAATATTTCTCTGCAGTTTGCATTAATTAAATCGTCTAAGAAAACACACGCTACGGTACTAATTTGTAATTCGAATAGTAAACACTCCAAATTGATATTGTAACTGCACAATCGTGACAAATCAAGATTTTTAATTTTTAATTCTTATGAAATTTTTCTGCTGTTTTAACACGCTGAATGTGTCAAGAAAAAGACATCAACGCGCTACGTCAGTTATATCTATGCGGGTTTGGATTTATAATCTTAAATTGAATATATTATGCAGGTGTATAATGAAATTGACGTCTATAATGAATGAACAGGACGTCTTTTGACCAATAAGAAGAACAAGCAAGAAACTCACCAGCTCGAACAAAAGCTCGTACAAAAATTGTGCCACTACCAAATTGATATTAACAATTTAAATTGCTGGTTGGTTGGTGGTAAAATAATATCCTATGCTAATGACACTACTCTTCTATTTTCGGCAAATTCGTTTGAAGAGTTACAATAAAAATGCTCAGCTAGGTTTAAATTTAGTCAATAAATGGCTTCAACAACATTAACTTACACTGAACGCGGTCAAAACTTATTATGTTCATTCTTCTATGCGCCAGGTTTACGAACTGCAGAACTGCAAGCTCATCGTTGTATGTATTATTTTACATGTACATACGTGTCCAGCCATTATTATTTCAATAAAAGCAAAACACTTGGATGTTATAATTGATGATACTCTCTCATTTAAGTAACATTAGAAACATAAAGTGGTAGAGTCCGTAACTTAATATGTTTTCAAAACACTACGTAGTATCGCGGGTGGTATCATAATCAGGCAAATATATTTTACGTTATGTCAATCGATATTAACCTTTTGCATTATGTCTTGGGGTGGCGCAGCAAAATAATCATTGCTAACCGTTGGGAGAGCCCAGCGGGCGGTTCTAAAGTTTCTACTTTTCGTCCTTTTATATTTAACTTCGAGGAATTCCACAGATCATGTAAGGTATTACTAGTAAGACAATCAATATATTTATAATTGAATCCCTTTTTCTCTCGGTCACGCCATCACACGTGAACTGCTAGCTAATGTTTTTTCTGTTGTGTTTGTTATTGCCAAGAGAAGGTTCTTAAGAAAGAAAAAAATAAGAAAGTCGTGTGGAAAATTTAACCCGCATATAAAATTATTTCTAATCTAACCTTAGTGCTTTGGATAATATTAACGTTTTTAATGTAGCCTTATGACGTTTAACATAGAATTGACAGGTGCTGTAATATCGACAAATAGGATGTAAATAAAAAATCGTTTAAAACTAATGCTTCGGTCGAAGTTTATTTATTAAATTTGTATTAAATATTACTGACTCTACTAACAAAAGACTAAAAGATAGGGTTTGCTATCTTAATACACAACCTAAATATGCTTTATCCTCCAGATTTTTATTTTTCACGGACCACTACTTTAGACTCAATGCGAAGCTAAACATCTCATATTTGCATATTCGAAATTGAAAGAAACTCAAATTCAAGCTCTCTAAAATTTAACCTATGATAATACAAAGAAATTATTATATGTTGTATTATAAAATACCTATGTGGCCTGTTTTATACACTTAAGTAGAATGCGTTAAATTTATACTTATATTAATTATACTTATATTTATATTACACTTATATAAATTTAGTGCACTCTACTGAAATCCTTTTGCATAGTAATAGTTTTAGCTACAATCTATTTTATAAGTCCTTTTTTTAGCCTGACAAACAGGATGAACAAAGATATGATATCCTAGTTCAAGCATGTGATAGTATTATTAGCTCTTAAATTTATTATTTTCATATATTATTATTAAATTAGATTATATTTTAGAGTGAAATAATATGTTACATAACAATAATAAAATTTACGTGCTGCACACTTATTTCTATTAATCACTTAAGCTATTTACAGCCAATCCGTACTTTCGTCTGGGGTCTGAACCGTTGTATCAAAGAGAAGTTCTAGTGTAACTGTTGAGCATACAAACATTCAAACAACACTGATAAATTTAGTAGGATGTAAATCTTAAACTATTGGTACTAAAGCTATTTTAAATAGTAAAGACATTTGTACCGTTAACTTTTAAAATATCTATCCTATAACGTATCCTGCCCGATCAAACGTCCCGCAGGACAATTCTAGTATTTTTTATGTAATAATTGCATCTCAACTACTTGCATATTGCCATTGTACAATCTATATAGTCCAATATTATTATATATTTAGGAATACATTACAGTTATAGATAGTAAACAAATAACTGACTTAAAGGTTGTGTAGTGACTTAATGTAGATCGACTCACTAGGCAATTTACGATTAGGTCAATAAGTAACACGAGTGTCGGTGCATGTCATTAGCATAAATACATGTCGAGCGGTCAAGCGTGTTCTTGTTGTGTTGAATACTTTATTTTGGCCTATAGGTACTCTGTCAATTTCGGTATTATAATGTGGTTATAGTTTTTGTCCGAATACGATAGAATAGACGATAAAAACACAATATTTCTTTAGAATCCGTACTTATTTTGATGTTTTAATTGGAGTGCAGCGTAACCGTACCGAGATGTTGTTACCTTGTAACGTGGCTAATGTTATTCAGCAACAATATGTCCACTCGGCGACACTCGATGGCACATTGCGTTGTTTAACTACTAGGTCGTGTTCCCGAATCGCCTTTTTATTGTAATAATCTTTATGTCTACAATATAATTTCCTATTATTATTAATGTTTACACACATTACAAGACATAAACAATCAGACAGAAAAGTCCTCTTCGTAGCGCGTATTAGGATTTTTTTATGCCAGTATATACATATATTCTAGTAATTATACATACATATACCGGTAATTATTTGTATGCCGACATAAAATATCGAACCAATTTACTGACTAAAAGGTATAATTATGCCAAACAATTATGGTAGGAAGCTCCAAACAATTTACTAAACATGATACTGGCCTACTCCCACCTGTTGTGTATGAAAATTCTGTAATACCCTTCAGTTCTACAGTTAAAAACCTTTGACTTCGTACTGATTTGGAGCTCAGATGAACATCACAGGTTGCCGAGGTCAGTCGTGTGGTACTTATTCTTTGCGCTCACTTAATCGCTTCAGACATTTCCTATTTACCAAAACTAAGGTCACCCTCGTCAGTTCCCTTATTCTTCCAGTCATTGACTATGCTGATATAAGTTGGACCGCCTTGCCAACAATGCAATCGCTTTATTTTGCGTCTCCGCAAGTGTGACCATGTTTCGTGTTATCAGTCTCAACTAAAATGGCTTCCTATTCGTCAGCGCAGACAGCTGCGACTGCTCTGTATGCTCTTTTCCATTCTTTCTAACCCGAATTCTCCAAATTACCTTAAATTTCAATTTCAATATCTTTGTGATTCCAATGATAGCCAACTGCGTTTTGCTAATATACTTGTACTATCTACTCCACTTTTTAATTCTGGTTTTATGGCCGACTCTTTCAGCCTTCAAACTATCTCCTAACAAATTCACTTTTGAACGGAAAGCTCACACTTTTCTCTTGGAATGAATGGAATGAATGAAAATAATCATCATAAATGAATTATGTTTATGTATTTATGTGTATAGTTAAGTCCGCCTATTGTACCATTCCAAAGGTCAATAAAGTTCGTTAAATAAATAAATTATGCCATAGAAGAATATCTAAATGAAAAACTTTAACTCTTCCATAAATATTATATTAAAGATTATTACAAAAAATATGTTTTAAAAATCTTGAACTCTTATAAGTATTTAATAAAGGAAATTCTTATTACATTTTAAAGAATAGTGTCTTACCCTCTACTACTTGTTGTGTCCGACAAGTTCCAACTTATTACATTGTCGAATGCGATTTATAAATAAATAGGTAGAATAGCTGCGTGCAGCGTACCTGACATCTTGCATTCTGGAATTAGCTATTAAAGCACTATTTTTACTAAAGCAAAAGTATCTTGTATATAAAAAATGATACCCTTTCTAACTTGAAATTAACAAAGTGATCTCATCAACCTGTAGGTAAAAAATAAAAGAATATGAACGAGTATGCATGTCTACTTGATGCGTACTGGTGGAATAAATTGAAGCTTTGCGCTATTAAATTATCTATTAAAAGAACCTGTATCAATTTTATCTAACAATTTCATTATAACTAGAACTCTTGGAAAATATATCATATTTAGGTAAAAAACTGTAATGTTGTCATATACTAAAAATTATATATAAAAAATTAATCTGCAAATGTATTAGAATTTTCTATGATATAATTTGTAACATAAAATTTCGGTGACCTATTCGTTTAGATGTTGGTTTTCTCTTTTATTTTTACGTTACACTTTTAACCTCTTAAAGTTTTAACCCCTAAGCTCAATTCCCAAAAAAAGAAGAAACTCAGAATAATTTTTAGTCCCCCATCTACCGGCAATCATACATTTTACTTAACTTCCGCAGACTAGACACGCTAAGCTCAACAACATATATATCGCAATCTGAACCTCAGCTAACCTCTTCGCGTAGTAAAAAATGTTGTGCAATGACGCGAATTAGAAGGGTCATTGTCCTGTGTCGCGACTGTGCGCGTGCGCCGGTGGGCGTGCGTTGGGCGTGCCGCCGCTCGCCCCTCCCCTCCCCTCCTTCCCTACCGCCCGCCGCCTGCCGCCCTACTACGGGATCGCGAGCATTGTTGTTATGGTTGGAGGCTACCGCGCCTACTACACGCCTTACGATCGAATATCTGTTTACTCAGTAAATTATTTGTCGTATTAAATTCTATTTCTCGATATAAGAATTACGAAACAATTTTGAAGATTAAGATACATAAAGGCACTGTAAATGCTGTCATTGGCCAAAGTATTTATCTGCTAAAAGCCTCTTTAGTACAATTTTAATCGAAATAGAATTTGTGTCACTTGAAAATGGATCGGTCATTTTTGGAAGAAGTCTGGGGTGAATACAACAGTAAATAAAAATAACTAACAATAAATCCAATAAGTCAAATATTTTGTAATCATAATTCAATTTAATAAATGTAAACGTTTCCATTTTTTTTTAAATTGTATTGTAATGTGTCCAATAGTTTTTAAGGTAGCTATACTTTCAGTTATATAGAAAAAGACAATCGACATCTTAGTCTTAAAAGAAAACGGAACTAGTAAATGGAAATGTCATGAAATCTAAATATATATAACTCATAGGTGACTGACTGACATAGTGATCTATCAACGCACAGCCCAAACCACTACCAAATTTGGCATGCAGGTAGATGTTAGGACGTAGGCATCCGCTAAGAAAGGATTTTGATAAATTCCACCCCCAAGGGGATAAAATAGGGGATGAAAGTTTGTATAAATCTTCTTAGATTTTCGACTGATTGAACTGAAATTAAAGATGATGAAGACGTCCGCTAAAATAGAATTTTGTTAAATTCAACCCCCATGGGGATAAAATAAAGAATGATGGAGGATGTAAATGTATTAGTTTGAACCTATCAGTAACTAATGGAACGAATAAATTAATACGCGAATGAAGTCGCGGGCAAAAGCTAGTTAAATATAAGCGCGCTGCACCCGTTCATATTTTGTTTTTATGTGCGTGAATATATAAGGGATCAGATACACAGATAATATATGTTCTCAACTAGTGATGCAGTTGAATTAATTTTAATGCATTAATTATAAGCTATAAAAGTTTTACAGAACTGACATCAGGTTGGTGACATATCATTCTCATCACTCACCACTCGAGTGGTAAAGATTACGAAAATAAAATTTATTTTGGACCCGAAGCTATCGAGAAAAAAATTGAACTATTTATTTAACTCAAATTGGTAACACGAATATGACTTTTGAATACAAACGAGATGTTACTAATTTAAATAAAATATTTTCTACATCTGATGAGTTTTTGTATGTCCGTTAAAGTGGCAGTAGCGGTGTCCGTAGACTGGCAGCATTTCATGGTATTTTGTCTTTATCCGATTTGATGGACTCCAGTTGGCTAACCTTCGTCGTCTCAGATACTCGCCTCGAATCTGAGCGTTGTATGTCATGTTGTCTTATATTTATTATTATGACATCCACAAAAAATTAACATAAAGTAACTTTAGCCACACTGACGATCATCACCGGAATCTATATGTTATAACGTTCATTAAAAAAAATAATATAATAATATAGTTCTACATTCTAACCTAGAACATTCTAGATATCAGACTATAAAATACATTAGAAATACATCATCGAACTGCATACGAGAGCAATAACTAGTGCGGTGAATTATAGACAACCCAATAGTGACGGAAGTATTGATGTATTTTAGTGTCGGATTTTCTTGTATTTTTTAATGGGGCAAATAAATTGTCGGGTCGTGACCTGTCGTTTTAGCGTTAAAATTTATCCCGAATCCCAGCTAGTGACAATATTAACACACTATTCATCGTTCTTAATATATCATATACTGATAGAAGTTTTTTTATGTACAGATGAGAGAAATTGGATGATAATGATAAACGTTATTTTTCCTTTCCTTCGATAGATGTATACCTATATATTAGTTTAGCAACATTATGAAGTTAACAATAATTCTGTGCCTTCTATGAAAACTGATAAGACTGCGGAGGAGTAGGAGCTGGGCTTTCTCTTTATATTTATTCAATGTTTTTGAACGTTTAGATATTATTCTTGTAATAGATCCTGTAATAGAGAAATAAATGGTTCGAATTATTTAAGGAGAACCTTTGGGTGGGTTTTTGACCGTATTTTATACATGCGTTTACGTTCATTTGCGTCCGTGCTAACTTTGAAACTTTTTATCTTATATTGACAAATACGGTATCAATAAATGCGCTTTAATCTTCCATTAGTTACAGGTTACATGACGTCACTTTTAATCGAATCATTCACCATAGTACTAACCAAGCCGACAATAAGATACAGTACCTTGATAACAAGCGGTGATCCGCAAATAATTAGGTACCACATTATTAGCAAGCTCGTTAAAATGCTCTAGTTTTAATTATTGTTATAAAAATTAAGTGGCAATAGAAATGTCGACGACCATTTATTAGGTAGAATCTAGTGGAATAAGGAATCGTATCTAAAATAAAGCCATAAACTTCCAATTATGTGTTGTGTTTAGTGTGCGGCGGGGGCGGGCGTGTTCGAGCTGCAGATCCTCGAGTTCTCAAACTACCGGCTGGAGCTGGCGTCGGGGGCGTGCTGCGGCGGCGCGGGCGCGGGGGCGGGGGCGGGGGCGGGCGCCGCGTGCGCACACCCCTGCCGCACGCGCTTCGAACTCTGTCTGAAGGTATGTATAGGTGTATAGGTCATAGTTATATAATAGTGTCTGGTGACAATGCTCGTACAACCATAATAAAAAACGTAAAAAACGGGTTGTTCCGTATTCATTCTATGATGTTTCCTCCCATTTCTTTAGTCATCCCAAACTAGTAAAAGTAGTGTTCCTACTTAATCCCAAACGTATACCTTACTCATCCTTAAAGCAAATATTACTAAAATAAAGTATGGATAACACAACAACGTTTAAATATGCATCTTTAGTTTGTAAAATTATTATTACCTACATGTTTTATTAAACCCACCAAGACGAACCAAACAAAACAAAAGTTTTTGGTTTGTAAACTTATGGCGTGTAGAGTTACTCTACATGAGATCTTCAAACTTTTTGATAGTGTGAGCCATATGGTCTCATCTTGGCAACAATTTATATGATAATGTTTTTGGTGGGATGTTTTTTTTCCACTGATGGGAAATCAATCTTACCAATGAATGCGATTGAATCAAGTTGAATAGGGAGAATGAGAACCCAACATTGCAGCAGATTGGTACATTCTACAAAATCATTATCTCAAACTGCTTGTTGATGATGATGATGATGATTATGATTATTTGTTATATAATAATAATAAACATTTATTTGGAACAAGATACATACTAAATACAAATATATAATAAACAAGAATATAAAATGATTTATCTCTATATATAATTTATAGTTATATTTGTTATATGAATAATGCTCAGGAAAACATTAACAGGACTCGTAGAGATCAAATTAAATAAGTTTAAAACACGCACAACAATATTGTACTCAAGATTAGAATAAAAATTATGGCTCCGACTGCTCCAAATAGACATATAGCTGGGTATTTGTCGATATATTTTGTTTTCAGAAATAGACCGACGTCAATATTGGGCTAGACCATATTTAGTGTACCACTTAGTCGTAAAGCGCTTTAATATTATTTCTAATTATTATTAAGCTATGTAAATACTACAGTTAAAGGGAAAAACATCGACTACTGCTGGCAGCGCCAATTGTCTATTTCACTACGGGCGACTATATCTGTCAGTTAGCCGTCACTGTCATGTTGACTATAACGTTTGATCAGTTTCGCGCCAGTGTGCTGGCGGGAAATCTTTTAAAACTATTGGAATCAATGTGGTGAATTTAAATACTCGTATATCAATTTAAAAATAAATTGTGTATTTCAATACTTACCAATGAAATATTTGTCACATTCTAGGTACCTTAATAAAAACTTTTTTTTACACATGTTATCTATGATATACATTTTAAATCTTACATATGTTAAAGACCAAACAACTCAGTAAGTAACACGGTAATGAAAGTAGATTTGCTATTTAACAGGAATAAACTTAAAGAGATAAAAGATAATATTTTTATTCAGGCCGTACACAGAAATGATTTAAAGAAAGGATAATCTAGGAATACTGATGGGATGAATAAGGAATTAATAAATTCTTTTTTGCGGGTTGAAAAACGATGAATATAACTAGGATGAGTAAGGAAAAAATAATGCGTAAGATGAGACGTCATAGGATGAATACGGAGCAACCATACTCAATCTTCCATATTATCCACCGACCTCTTCTTTTGTGTTCTTGCCCTTAGATTGTCCCTATTTAGAAACACTTGCAACTTTTTGTTTTGTATACGCTTTTTAATTAAAGTTATCACATATATGTGTTTTCTATTTCATTTTACTTAGGTATTCAGCGTTCTTTGTTTTCTTTATTGTCTCCGATTTACTATAATTAATAATAAATTTAAAATTAACTTTTGTTTTGCCCCAACAATAGAACATTTGATATGAATTTATTGAATCTAGTTGTTTATAAATATTATGTACTTAGTTAATATTGTTGCACTCTGGTTGACACGTGTGCGTGTGTGCAGGAGTACCAGTCGTCGGCGGCGCCGGGCGCGTGCTCGTTCGGTCGCGCCTCGTCGCCGGTGCTCGGCACCGACTCGTTCACCCTCGCCGAACCACTCTACACGCTCGCTCTCAACTTCTCATTCCGTTGGACGGTTAGTAATACATATTTAAATATCAAAATATTGTTACGTTTAAATTGATTATTAAATATTTTAAATCTGTTACAGCGCTCCTTTACATTGATACTTCAGGCCTACGACGATAGCGATTATCCTGACCCCGGTAAGTCGTATTATAATTCTACTCACTTTATTATAAAAAGACGCTTATCCCGAAAATAAGATGAACTGACGATGGATTCTCCGTTTTCTCTAGTTTTATGGAATCGACTGGGATTCTCGTCTGAACTTACATCGTATCCCAAGTAACATTAGGCGCTAACATAAGAGTTATAACAGATCTACAAGAAAGCTAAACAGATCCTGTGTTGTTCAATAATTGCTTTCACATGGAGTAACTCTACTGTACCCCTGGATTGGGCACAAATTCTTATGACCTTAGGTTCCACTATGGCGATATAGTAGAATTTAAGAGATATAGTATAGTTATTGTGGAGGTACAGTAGCGCTAACTGAGTCCTAAAGCATTATAAAAGCAGTATTTAAGTGTCTAGTGACTCTTCAAGCGTTATAATAGAGCTACAAGCTACCTTCAGACCTTTGAGTGTTACAAAGAAAGCAAATGTATGAATATTAACTCCGTAAGGTTTATAGAAGATCTAAGAAACATCTTACTAACTCTTTAAGCGGTTATAGGGTGGTAATAAGGTAAATTGTAACACCTTGAGTTGCAGCACAGATCTACAATAGAAAATTTTAACGTTTAAAGACACAGTTTTTACCTAGACTGCGTAACAGTACGTTTTGCCTTAACGTTAAATTGTTACTACACCTAATCTATATCAGTATAAGCGTTACATTTTATTACTAACTCTCTTTTGTCACCGCAACCTATAATTACAGCTACTAATCAACCTTTATAACACTTTAGATTCTAAAGTAAGCTCTATTTGCATCTGTAATTTTAGTTGGGATCTCATTAGCATTATTTATAACCTGTGTTGCAGCATCGGGTTTGATAGAGGAGGCGTGGTGGTCCGGCATCGTGGAGCCGGGCGCGGAGTGGCACGCGCTGCGGCACGCGGGCGCGGCGGCGGCGGTCGCGTACCGCGTGCGCGTGCTGTGCCTGCCCAACTACCACAACGCCACCTGCACCACCTTCTGCCGCCCGCGCGACGACAAGTTCGGCCACTACGCCTGCTCCTCGCTCGGAGACAAACAGTGCCTGCCCGGCTGGCAGGGAGACAACTGCGAGAAACGTACGGAACGATACTGTATTCTATCGTCTTTTAACGTAGTTTTATCTACTTCACCTTTACAGGATTACACGGGATCTCGAACGCCTACCTACTGTAAACTTCAGCATCAGTATCCAAATTATTAAATTTAAAGATAATGTCAGCTTATAATATAGCTTATGTTAAAACTTTTACATAGTTTATATATCATTGAACTCTGTTTTACCATTACAGCTGTTTGTAAGGAAGGCTGTCACCCGACTCATGGCCGTTGTGACAACCCTGGAGAATGCATGTAAGTTCTAAATTAATATTTTAGCTATAATTATTAATAGGCATCTGCCCTGATCCATAGGCTCTGATGATCATGTCGATGTGTGTAACAGATGTAGGCCTGGATGGCGCGGCGAGCTCTGCTCCCAGTGCCAGCCGTACCCGGGCTGCAAGCACGGCTTCTGTAACGGCTCTCCCTGGGACTGCACCTGCGATACAAACTGGGGCGGAATTTTATGCGACCAAGGTGCGACACCTTCACTACGTTTAATTATCATGAATAATACTAATTACTGTAACAGATACTATATTATACCTATTACTTTTAACAAACATCATGAAGAGAAATTAAAGAAAGTAATAAACCGAAGGAAGGCAATTTAAACAGAATTCACGGTTATGAAACCGTATAACGTGGTATTTAATTTTCATTATTTTAAACTATCGTGAAATTGACTATATAGATGTAGAACAAAACCCTACATAAATAAAATGTTTTACCTGAAAATAAAACAGTTATTATATGCAGAAACCTTATTCGAGACCTAAGAGTGAGACAGCACTACTTCCGTTTCCTAGAACAGCCCTCCTCCGATACCCTCCACTACGTAACTACCGGCAGCGCAAGTGCGGTAGAAGGGATTTTTGTTTTTGCTTGTCACCGGCAGCCGTGGTTTGACTCGTCATATTGTATCTCACTGGAGTCAGTAGAATTTAGCCACTAGGCAGTAATTAAAAATTAGGTCTCGAATAAGGTTTCTGCATATAATAACTGTTTTATTTTCAGGTAAAACATTTTATTATATGCGCTGAACCGTTATTCGAGACCTAAGAGTGAGATGTGTTTGTTATCGCCTGGTGGCAAGTAAAAGTTTTAAAATTAAGTAAGTACTTAATTATATCATGCCAATGTGTGAGAAATAAAGAGAACTATAAAAAGAAAAACAAAGAAGAAGAATACTTCTTTCCTTTTATTTTCCCATAAGCAGGTAAGTAGGTGTACATAATTTGAAATAATCAAATGCAATTAATCATCTTTAAATTATATCAATCGATTACTTAAATAGCTTGAAAAGCGTGAGATAAATTGGAATTCGAGTTACAATAATTACGAATTTCAGAGGAATAAAAGCGAGCAAAAGTATTCGGAGTTCGCCAATTTCCTTTTTTCATAACTTCATCAATGTCATAACCATCCAACCAATTTTGGGAAGCCGTGGCGCTACGTGTAGAGCCAGCGCTCGCCTCCACTCCAGCAGCGCGCAATAGCGATCGTACCCAGCCACTGAGTACTGTGCGAGACGCTGGCCGCACTGGTCCTCGTGCTGTTATGAACAGTTCACTCATATTTTTGTTTTCTCGACGATGAGCTGATATTTCGATGAGCCGTTTCATCCAATAAACTGGACGTGTTTTGTCGTTGTTTATTTTAATCAACTTCCACGAAGATTGTCGATGTGTATAATTGTCGGTCTTGGATCCGAACCGTGGATGTAGTATGACATGATCGTCAAACGTTTCGAAATGATCCTCGTCAATGTTTAAGAGAGTGAGATCATGGACTCTTCGGCTGGATGACAGAAGCAACAATAAAGCGGTACGTCGTGATACTTCATAAAGTGTTAGGTGCAACGGAACATTAGATGTCAACCATAGCACAACTTTCGATGGATCCCATATGTAAGATTTTTTAGGTGTTTTACTAGCAGCCACTAGTGATATGGCTTTTAAAATACGTTTTACAATAGGATTATTGCTCAAAGAGTCTGTCTCGGAAGCCGTCATAGTAGCAATCACGGATTTATATACTAAAATCGTTTTGTAAGCAAGACCTTCTCTTAAATGTAGATTAGCCAAGTATTTAGCCAATTGCGATCCCGTTGGGTAGTAAACATCAACTTCCTTATCGTGACACCAATTTCGCCACTTCTCCCAAACTGATGAATATACTTTCTTTGTAGAAGTTCTCCAGCTCGAGTCTAGTAATTCAATTTCATCCAATGACCATTCATTTAGTAAGTGGTTCCACCTTTTACTGACCAAACTTCGAGACACATCTGATCCGCCTGTGCAGGTGGTTTCCAAGTTTGTGTGTCCAATAAACAGTTTCTCAGATGTGTTATTGTCCAAGGTGCGGCTATAGCTCGGCGTTTCAAGTCCGGACGCCAGAATACCTTTCTCCATCGTGGGACCACAAGTAGAAATATGCCCTCGGCCCTGTTTAGGTGTGCTAAATCTCGAGGTACCAGGTGTGGTGGTGGAAATATCCAGGCCTTGCGGTATCGCCATTCTCTGCTGAATGCGTCGTGGTATTCTGCTTTTGGATCTCTGCAGTCTCGTGAAACGTATCGTGGAAGAATGTGAGCCTTTTGAGATGCAAATAGGTCGATCTCTGGTGTACCCAAGCGCCTGAATATCTCCCGTAACGTTGGTTGAATTAACGTCCACTCTGTCTGTCTCTGTTGTCGGGAGATCATGTCTGCGTCTACGTTGTACATTCCGGGTATATACTGAGGAACAACATGGATGTTGTTCTGATCTAACAGTTGGGTCAATTTCAACAAGTCCCTTAAAATCTTCATTTCCATGGATTTTTTTTTCTTTAAAGATTTAAAGAAAACGAAAACGTTTTTTTAAAGTTTTCGATAATATATGTATTCTTGCTTAATATCTAACAGATAACTTAAAAACTGAACTAGATATACTAGTTTCAAAATCTCGTGCCACGGCAATGAAATAAGCAAGCACGGCAATGAAACAAAAGTCCACGACAATGAAAGAACTGTGTGCCACGGCAATGAAATCAATCAACGGAAATGAAAATCCATATTAAACATGCGTAATTAATCCTATTAATATTATAAAGGCGAAAGTTTGTAAGTATGGATGTATGGATGTTTGTTACTCTTTCACGAAAAAACTACTGGACGGATTTGGATAAAACTTTACAGCAATATAGGTTATACATCAGAATAACACATAGGGTACTTTTTACTGGGAAAACTTCTCACTCCCACGGGATACCGACTTCCACGCGGACGAAGTCGCGGGCGTCCACTAGTATTTTATAAACTTACACTTGATTCACAATGTTTACTATCCTCCTAATATTATTTTTATAGTGAACTAACTACACCTGCTCACAAAATATGATATTATATTTTGCGAACTAAGTACCTATTTGTAATTTATCTGCGTAAAAGGTAAAGGAGTAAAAAGTTAATAGAATAAAAGCAGAATCATTTATTTCAATTCTTCTACAAAAAAATATTAACAAATAGGATTTTCAAAAGATGCAATAGCAATTGCATGAACTACAAACAACTAACATAACACAACATGATTTTTCAATTTGCACATCAATGCAAAGCAAAACGATAACATTTTTAAAGTCTAAAGATAAAATCTAGTCCACCATCTCTCTTCGTTTTTGTTCGTTCCTTTACACGCTGTATACGTGTGCTAGGGTATCTAAAGATCAATATTTATGGTTCACGTGGAAACATTTTTTTGTAGTTGACTGTACAGTAAAACTCATCACCTGTATTACATGTAAAGATGTTTTCTTTGCTTAACCATACCATGGCGATGAAAACAAAAGTCACGGAAATGAAACATCTGACCACGGCAATGAAACTAACTTGTTTTACAAGGCATGGCAATGATTTTTTTTTTCATTTCCGTGTCTTTTTTTTCATTACCATAGCAAATTTTGCCCACGGAAACCGCGGAAATGAAAGCATAGCGATGAAAACCAAGGCAAAAATATAAAATAACAAAAAATGTATTAATTATTCGACGTTATAAATATTTCACAAATAAACAGAACAGAAATGGCAAATATCAGAATACTTAATCAAGAGGATAAACTTATTCAAATAGAAGTTATACCTAGACACGTCGATGAAAGAAAAAGTGTCCAGTGATTGAAAAACTGAATACTTATATTTATGGCCCGAAAACGCAGGCACATATGTAAGTCCTTCCAGGCCGGGCACATAGGCGACACTAATATACATACATTTAGCGCACAAAATGGGTAACCGCACGCCGTTAGATAAAAAAAAAACTAAAACAAGCTTAGGCCACGTCGATGAAAGGAAGTTCTGGGACAAATGGATTTTTAATGCCTATTCGTTTTATTGTTTAAATATTTGAATAAATGTATTCCGTAACAATACTTTAACTATTCACGTATGAAATAAAAGTATGATATAATATAAATAACCAATAGATTTTTATCAATCAAGTATAATACAAATCAAGGTGGATTGTGGACAAACACGGGAATGAAATATTTCGAGGTTTAGTAATTTTTAAGTAAATACTCATTAATTCCATTAATGTAATATTTAGTGCTCCACATAATTCACTATTTCACCTAATCAGAAAAAAATATTAGAACGTTATAACTAGGTTTTTTAATACCGATTTCATCGATGCCACGCAATTTTTTGTGTCGGGAAATCCACCCAGTTGATATAGTATCCAAGTCATTTGAAGGAGAGTTTTCGAACGTCCGCCTTCGTTCTGTATGTAGCTCACGACACTCTTGTTGTCGGATTGTATTAGAACAGTCGTCTTCCGAAACTGTGTCGCAAACGTTTGAACGGAATTGATTATTGCCCACATCTCTTTTAGATTGCTGTGCCATGTTATCTGATCGGAACGCCAAGAGCCTCCCGTCAAATGAATACCGTCTACTACTGCGCCCCAGCCGGTGCCTGAAGCATCCGTAGTCAGAAAGTGAGCAGCGGGTGCAAAATGAATCGGTGTACTTGCTCCCATGGATTCTAACCGCCACTGGAACTCTGTCAAGACCTGGGGTTGAATTGTGCTCTTCGACAGTGGTTGATCTTTTTGGAGCCGAAAACTTGCTTTTTGTAAAGGGCGGCAATGAAGCCGACCTCTGGGAACCGCAAACGAGGCAAAGTTTAGCATTCCCAATATTCTCTGAGCATCCTTGAGACACCAAAGACCTTGACCTAGAAGTTGTTCCAATTTTATTTTTATTCTTAGTCTCTTTTTGGCGGGTATATATTTGATATTTTGTCTGAGGTCCCATGTGACGCCCAGATACTCGATCGTCTGGGTTGGAGCCAATACTGACTTTTTGCAATTGATACTTCAGCCAAGGGAATTCAGAATTTGCACGGCTTCCGCAGCCTGTTCTTGTAACATTGCTTGGCTCTGATTGACAATCAGATAATCGTCGAGGTATACGATTACCCTCATACCTCTGTTGCGTAAAACCTCTGCTACCCAGTTGGAAACTGTCGCAAATGTCACGGGTGCTGACGAAAGGCCGAACGGTAAGCTGGTGATTTGTAAAAGTTCCGGTTCTGTTGCATTCTCTGACTGGTATAAAACCCTCAGGAACGGCAGATGAGAGCGAGCCAGTGGAACGTGAAAATAGGCCTGCGAAAGATCATTTTTTATTGCCCAATCGCCCTGTTGCAGAAAATCCGGCACCCGATTGACATTGATTAATCTGAACTTGAAATGAGCTAGAAATCGATTCAAGTTTTTTAGATTGAATATTGGCCTGTTGCTGGTATCCGATTTCTTCACGAGGAACATCGGAAAAATAAAACTTGGAGTCGGCGGCGCGGGTATTAGTATATTTTGATTTTTTAATTTTAAAATTTCTCGTGACATTTCTGCACTTGTTGGTGTCTGATATTTTAATAAACGTTTGTGACTGATTAATGGCGGTACTTTGCAAAATGGTATTCGATAACCTGATATTATTTTTAGAATATGTCTCGGCGCATTTAACTTTTTCCAACAGTTTATGTAATCTTTTAAACAACCGCCGTAAAACGAGTTTTGTCTCCAGTCATTTGCGAAATCTACCATTACTATTCCTGCCAGTTGAATTATTAAATTTACCGTCCCGATGTTTCAAATTAAATTTGTTATTGATTGTTGCGAACTTCTTGTTTTTATTAACATAATTATTGTTTTTATTTGATGATGGACCCGGAACAGGTTCGACATCATCATAATTGCGTTCGCGTGGTGCCGGCTTCCGCAGCCGCTTAGCGCGAGTAATACTATTTTTATTTTGAAAAGACATAATGGGCTCATCCGTTGAGCGCTTGTTACTATGAAACAGCTTGCTTGTACCACCCGCTTTTAATAAGAAGGAACTCATTATTTCTGAATTAAATAAATTCGTGAGGGTAGGTGGAATTTTCCGCAAATCTTCTTTAATATAGCGATCCTTAACACTCGATAGTATGCTATCCCGGCGTTTTTGTATTGTATCGACTCGTCTCCCACACACAAGCTGAAGTATGTCCTCGGAAACCTTTATGTACTGTGATTTCTCAGAAAATAATTCACTTAGTTTATTAAATAATGAGTCCGAGGTCAACACAGTATCCGACTTGTGAGACCATTCTATTATATTTTGTAAATTATTCTTGAAAAGCTCATTTTGTTTTATTACTGCATGGGTTAAAGCACCGTAAGAACGGTCTAAAGATTTTAGCCAAGTAGAATCAGGATCATAAAATCTTAATTCAGTATTAACATCCAAGTCTTGAAATCCAGGTTTTGCAAGATACTTTTTCTCAGTGTCAATATACCTTACGCGATCCCAATCATTTGTATCGAAATAATGTAATTTCGATAAAATATTTAGCCTAGATGATGAACTGCCGCTGGATGTTGACGACGAGGACGAAGACAGACTGGTGCTCGAACTGTCATCACTGACCGATGAATTCGTAGACGAAAGACGACGTTTTCTTGACCTGGGAGCCTCTCTATGTGTTTCTCGGGGTCTAGAAGCCCCCTGAGTAACTCTTTCCTGTTCACCCAGCCTAGAAGCCTGCTTTGGTGACAAATTATGTTGTCTGGGCCTAGAAGCCCGCTCAGGGGTTCCACCCATGATATTAGCTTGTAATATCTACCTACAATTTATTACGAACAACAACGTTGTTAATAAGGAGGTGTTCACTCGACGAAAGTCGATGCCAATGTGACGAGTCAAACCACGGCTGCCGGTGACAAGCAAAAACAAAAATCCCTTCTACCGCACTTGCGCTGCCGGTAGTTACGTAGTGGAGGGTATCGGAGGAGGGCTGTTCTAGGAAACGGAAGTAGTGCAGTCTCACTCTTAGGTCTCGAATAACGGTTCAGCGCATATAATAAAACGTTAAAGAAAAATTGAAATTAAATGCTAGACTAATATGACGCGTTCGACTCAGGATTATATTTAAAAGTTCGATCGATATTCACTCAGATCTCAATTATTGTGGCACGCACGAGCCGTGTCAACACGGTGGCACCTGCGAGAACACGGCACCGGACCAGTACCTGTGCACCTGCGCCGAAGGCTTCTCCGGAGTGGACTGCGAACGCGTGGACAACCCGTGCGCCCCGCAGCCGTGCGGCCACGGCGCGTGCGCGCTGTCGGCGACGGCGCGCGGCTTCGTGTGCGCGTGCGAGCCGGGCTGGACCGGCGCGCTCTGCGACACCGACGTGGACGACTGCGCCAGCGCGCCGTGCCGCAACGCCGCCACCTGCCGCGATCGAGTTCACGGCTTCACCTGCGAATGTAACGCCGGCTGGACCGGACCCACTTGTTCCGACGGTGAGCTCGAGAACGTCCCTCCGAACTCGATCATTCCGACCGGTTTCTACTTTAACGAACGCTCTCTCTCCGAGATATTATACTCTAGCGACCCTGTCCGTTCCGACAGATGTGGACGAGTGTTCGGAGAGCGGCGCGACGGAGGGGGCGCTCGGGCCGTGCGTGAACGCGGCGGCGTGCAACAACACAGCGGGCGGGTACGCGTGCGCGTGCATCGCGGGGTGGACGGGCCGCGACTGCGAGACCAACGTGGACGACTGCACGGGCCAGTGCCTCAACGGCGCCACCTGCATCGACCTCGTTGACGACTTCCACTGCGCGTGCGCCGCCGGGTACGCGGGCCGCACGTGCGCGCGCGACATCGACGACTGCGCCTCCCGGCCCTGCCGCAACGGCGGCGAGTGCGTCGACCTCCTCGACGCCTACCGGTGCATCTGCCCCGTCGGCTTCTCCGGCACCGACTGCGAAGTGAGCTATCCCCGTGCCCCGTTCTTCGGCGTAGCTTCCGTATTTGATCGGAACCACTTAACATACGTTTTCCGCTTTCCTCCCTTTTTATTATTCGTTTTCGTTACACGTTCAGGTGCCATTTCGGATACGGGCGCATTCGCACTAACAATGACTAACACGACTTCTGCTTTTAGCTGACTTCCTGTTTCGGACGATACTGTTGGGTGAGTTTAAAGTTTCTTCACGCTTTGCTTTTTCTATCCTTCGTTTATCTGCACTGCACTTTGACTAATATCGATTTCAGAATATCTAAACGATTCACAACACACTTTCGCACCGATTCTCGCTTCTAATCTGTATAAAGTTAGACCATTAAGAATCGAAACAACAATTTTAAGTTGTAAACTATGTCCAGGTCTATTTAAAGTGAAAGTACTCGTAGTGGATCATTCATATTAAAATAACATCACAGAAACATGATTATATACGTCAAGACGCACTGATATAATGAAATCGCAATATTATTATTATTCAGGGTGAATCTCTCTTTTAAGATACTCGTAGTTATACTAATATTACTGCCCTTCGATACTTTAATATAACACACAAGCGGCGATCGATGTCTCCAATATTATAAATAACATTTGGTGTCGTCGTTTAGGACGACCGCGACCACTGCGCAGAGTCCCCGTGCGGCAACGGCGCGGCGTGCTACACGGCGCAGAGCGACTACTACTGCCACTGCGCGCCCGGCTGGACCGGCAAGAACTGCACGCAACGCGCCGCCAGGGAACGTGAGTCGCGCACCTTATTTGTTATGTGCCCTTTATTCTATAACTGTGCACTTCTAATAGCCTTTACATCATGGTGGCATTCTTTTTCTTTGAATGATCAGTGTCCCGGTGCTGTCAAATATTTCGCATAATGCAACCTATGACTTTATAACAAAAATAGATGATTCTCTGAATATTGAATGTCAGACTTCAGATTCCAGTTTTAGAAGAGTGCAGCTTCATAATACCCAAATACACCATCAAAATATTGCATGTTAATATCAGAAGTATATAACGTAACTTCGATAATTTTTGGTCATGTTTACGTATCTCAATCGTGAGTCATGAGTGAGTGCTGGATAAGTCAAACTTCTACTATAAAGCAGATAAATGGATACCATTCCTATATTACAGAAACATTCATAAATAAGGCAGGAGGCGTAATTATATATGTAAATGAGAAGTGGTCACCAAATGTAATAAAACCCATTATAGACAAAGCGAATTGTTTGATCATGTAGGTTTTGCTGAGGTTGGTATCTACCGATCTCCCAATTTTAATATACCTCTATTTTTACCACTGCACTCGATTGTATACTAAATTCATTATATAACAGCCAATGTGTTGCGATTGTGGGAAGTATCAATATAGATATCTTATATTCGGCCATAGATGTCACTAAATCGTCTACCTACCTCACCCTGCTTGCGGAACACATCTTGAAATCAGCCAATAACTTGCCCACTCATATTAAGACGTGCATTGATCATATAATTGTCCCAACAAAAGCAATAGCATAGACAATGGTGATCCCAACGGATCTAACATACCATGACACCGTAACGACGTTAATAGCATGCAGAACTAAGCCATCAATTGACAGCACAAGGTGTTCAGACTGAAATCGGAAACATAGATTGGCGAACAGTTATGACAAGTGTATCTCTAGATCAGTGTTTCCTAACCTGGGGGTAATTACCTCCGCAGGGGTAAAACGTTGGCACAAAAAGTATTAAAATAATAAACAAAATAATAGAACGGTAGCTAGTCGACTCTTGTTACATTAAAAACAAAATCCAGAAACTGTCTGAATGTGGAGCATGACATGAGATGCGCGTTGAGTGAAAATGATTCTTATATTGTTATACTTGCGAATGCAAAGCAATATGAATCTTCATACTAGTTAAGTCCGAGATTTATATATTACTAGTTACGTAAACGTGCAATTTCTTACCTAATAAATTTGTTTGTTCGAATTTGTGTGGTTGAATTATTTTAAATTAGCTGGGGGTAAACTCAATTCCCATACTTGTTCACAAGGGTAGTGACATTGAAAAGGTTAGGAAACACTGGAAACAGATAGATATGTGACCACTTTCTCTAAAGACGTTTTAGACGCTGTCTCCAAGTATTCCCGCGTGGTGAAACTCAGTCATTCTAAATTTAATATAAAACCCTGGATTACTCCTGGGCTAATTCTCTGCTCAAAACACAGGGACAAGCTCCACACAGATAGCTAATCGTAGTTTCTCAAAGTATCGCAAAATTTCTAGAGCACATTACATATAAAAGACTGGTATCATTTTCTAGAATCCCACAATATAATCTCGGATAGGCAGTTCCGTTTTCTAAGAGGAAGGTCCCAGAGAACGCTGCCACACTTTTGACCAATATAATAACCACACATCTTAATAACGGATCCAAATGCGTCAGCATGTTTTTAAACCTCACAAAGACCTTTGATACAGTTTCGATACCAATTCTTTGTGATGAAACCAATTCTTTGTGTGGGAGGTGAAATGAGAGGGAACACTTATTCTTAATTTTCTAACAACTTATTCCATAAAAGCCAATATGTCAAATGTGGCAATAACATGAACAGCAGTAGGCAAATTAACTTTGGTGTGCCCAAGGGGAACATTCTGTAACCTTAGATATCAATATTATAAGCGGAATAACTTATATAATAAATGTCTGTACCGTAACTACAATAAAATATACAACGATTAATAGTTATATATAAATGACTTACCAAAATGTACAAAATATCATTGTACTCTTTTTGCTGATCATATTTCAGTGATTGTTTCTAAAGATCCACAATCAACATATACAAATGACATTAATCAAGCGCTCTCTGATGTTGTACAATGGTTGGAAAGTAATCAATTAAAGGTCAATATTACAAAAACCAAGTGCATCCAATTTAGGAACAAAGGCGGTGCAATTGAGAATCTACAATTAAAGTATAAGGACCAATATATAAACACGGTTAATAATTCAGTCTTTCTGGGCATTACTTTGGATGAATGTTGCACTTGGAAAAACCATGTATAGAAGGTTTGCACAAAAATAAATCGCTTTGCTTATGCTTTATGGCGTCTTACCAAATTAAGTAACAAACCAACAGCACTTAAGGCATACTATGGTTATGTAGTGTCAAATTTAAGATATGGACTTTTGCTTTGGGGTAACTCAGTAAACATCAATCGGGCATTTATATCGCAGAAGCAATGTATCCGCGCTATCTGTGATGTACCACCGACAACAAGCTGTAAGCCGCTGTTCAGAAACCTAAAGATATTAACTCTTACAAGCTTATATATCTTAGAAGCATCGATATTTGTTAAAACACATAAAGCTTTGTTTTTGACTAAAAAAGATTTATGCACCTTCAACACGAGATTTCCGGATAGACTGGTACTACCAAACTGCAGAACTGAAATATGCAAGAGAAATTCATATGCTATGTGCGTTAAAATATTTAATAACTTACCTGAAAATTTTAAGAAATTGCCGCTATCGACATTTAAGCGTGAACTGCACCAATGGCTACAGCAAAAGTGTTTTTATTGTATCAATGAATATTTAGACAAGAGACATAAAATTTGACATTTTAGTTAATTACAATAAATGATAAATATGAGTATCTCCAATTCACAATATTGACATTACTATATTATGAATCAACCGCCCATCAACAGACAATACACCGCCCATCTTCCATGACCACTCTTGGGATCTGGTAACGCGGAGGGCTGGGTATGGTATGAAATAGTCTCACAAACTTGGTTAAACAAAAACATTTTAACACTAAACGCTGCCAAAACATCTGAATCTGCTCTATCGGGAGCAAATTAGACCATATAGACGATTTTAAGGACAATGTCTTTTTAATGAACGGCAATTATGTCGTCCGAACTGATGCAACTCCAAGGTACCGTACCGTGGTACCTTAACTTTGGAGTCGTGCTCGATGAAAAACTTACACTTAAACATTAAATTACCTTGATATCTAGTCGGGTTCAAAAGTTTATTCACGTTATGAAAAACCTTCGGGAGGCAACAGACGGGAAAACCCTTAAGATGGTTTACATGGCTGGCAATCTACGAGTATAATTAATTATAATATTCTCTTAAGGACAGTGCAGCCGGAACCCACATCATTTTAGTGGAAAGAGCCCAAAGAGGAGTACTAAAACAGCTTTCTTCGAGTTCCTTAGCGTTTTTCTGGTACGGATTGTGACTCATACGCACAGAGCAGTAATAAATGCTTAAAAAGTGCGTCTTTAAATTCCAATACCTCCCACAGAAACAATCGTTATTTATTATATTTATAATAAACTTGTCTCTCACTGCGATTCTAAACTTAAATTATAATGGATAAGCCAATTTTAGCCACTCTAGTACAAGCCAATTTTAGTCGGTCCCGCGTTTGGCCAACGAACTACTTAAGAACCGACAATGGACAATTATAAAGAATTTTAAATTTTCTATAGGCACTTATACTGTGCTTCGCAAGGTATCGTTAGATTAGGTTTTATATTTGAAGCTAGCTCAAATCTAAACTAATAAAAAATAATATAATCGGTTGAATGTCTGGTGCTGACATGCAACCGATTATACATTAACAAGTATGTTTAGGTATAGAAGATTGTGGCGGGGGCACGGGAGACTGCGGTGCGGGGGGTTCGTGCGTGGACGTGGGCGGAGCCAAAAGATGCGTATGCGCTGCCGGCTGGACCGGCCTCAGATGCGAACGAGGTACCATGACAAAACTATCAGTATATAGTATTTATCTTTGTTCAAACGTTAACATCGAGCTCTTCCTTACGTAGTTACACTTTCACTGTTTACGCAAAGTAACCGTCCATCGTTTCCGACGACACGAAACGGCCACACTGTGCGCAACTGATTATTCATGCCATAGCGCTCCGTCCACTTTCCACTCCGACCGCACCGTCGGCTCGCAATATATGAGTGATGCGAATGCCGATGACATCATACGGATTCCTCCCACAGAGCTCCTATACGTTACTTTAGAGCGTCATGTCAAAACTAAAAACAGTAACACGTCATCGGCACGATGCCGAATTGCCGATACCAAAACACGGATTTTATCTAAAAGTCTCTTTTACAAATCCGTACAATACGTCAAGGACCGGTGGCCGGGACGGGTCGACGGACGCCGGGGACGGTCACGCACACTAAAAACGTAACATTCGGTGTTCGGTCAATAAAAATTAACGTTTCTTTCCCAGAAATCGACGAATGCGCGACGAACCCGTGCCGCAACAACGCGACCTGCGTCGACGGCCCCGCAGATTTCGCCTGCGCGTGTCTCGAAGGGTGGACAGGTCGGTGTCTACGATGACGCGCGGAAGGTCCGCTCCGACGTCGATAAATAGTTCACTCTTTGAAACTGAAAAAAATGTTTGCGCAGGAAAGACATGCAGCGTCCGAACGGAGCTGGAGAGATGCCCCGAAGGCACGTGCGGCAACGGCGGGACGTGCTTTCGGGATTCGAGCGGGTGGCGGTGTCGATGCGCCGCCGGATGGGCCGGGACGGCGTGCGAGGCGCCCGCGCCGGTGCCGGCGGCGGCGGCGGCGGCGTGTCCGTGCGCGCGCGGCGCCTGCGTGGCCGCCGCCGGGGGCTGGGCGTGCGCGTGCCACGCGGGCTGGACCGGCGCGCACTGCGACCGGCCGCTGGACGGCTGCGCGTCGTCCCCGTGCGCGCACGGCCGCTGCGTGGGCGGCGCCGGCTGGTGGGCGTGCGAGTGCGCGCCGGGCTGGGCGGGGGACGCGTGCGGGGAGCGCGTGGCGGAGTGCTCCCCCGCCTGCCCCGCGCCCTCCACCTGCGCGGGGGACGCGGAGCGCGGCGCGCGCTGCGTGTGCCCGCCGCCGCCCGCCCGATCGTCGCGCCGATGTCTCGAATGTGAGTACCGACTTCTTAGAATATACGGGTTCGCTTGTATTTTGAATAACGCAGACGGTTAGGGACGTTTACGTCTCGAACCGTCTGTTGATTCGGACACATGAGTGAATTCGAATTTTTACAGTATCGCCCTGCTGGGACCATTACCACTTGTAATGATGGACATGAATCGATCCTTCCCGCAAATAGGAAACCTGATATTTATAGTAGAGCGCCTCGAAAAAGAAACAGTATATACCTCAAGAAAGAAAAGCGAAGTTTGGTTTGAAAGAAGACATAGAATTATATTGCGTGAAACTGTTGCGCAATGTTATGATAATTATTATGGAAAATATAGATGCATTGATGAAGGAAAAAGAAACAATAACGGTACAAGATTAGTCATTTAATTTATGGAAAACAAATTAAGCATCTCGAATAGCTTTTCTTAAACCTTCTAAACATTTAAGTATAATATGGCATGTTACATTTAATTACTCCAGGACGTGGTGCAGTAATGTAATTCGATTTATTCTATCGTTCGAGACCGGAATGCACCCGCAACTCGATATTTTTTTACACCCTTGACTAGCCATATTGCTCGGTCGAACTAGACGGTAACCATCGAGGAATATGTTCGTTCAGTGGTCGCGGGTCTCGGAGCGGAGGGCCCGGAGGTGGGCGCGGCGGGCGGCGGCGCGGACGCGTGCGGCGCCGACAACGGCACGTGGTGGTGGGGATGCAACGCGTGCTGGTGCGCCGCGCGCGCGCCCGCCTGCACGCGTCTGTGGTGCGGCCTGCCCGACTGCCTCGCGCCCGGCGCCATGCCCTGCCGGACCGACGAGGTAAAATTAACCCTTTCTTTGTAGACAAATTCAAATTGAATGCAGAGAAGTAATCTGCGAGGCTCAGCGTAAGGCCTCATGCCCACGAGCCGGTTTTGCGCCGGAGCTAAGCCCGGCGTCAAACCGGGTCTACAGGTGGTCGTCAGTCGTGTATGAAACTCTATGAAGCTAAACACACGACGCCGGCGCTAGAGCCGGCTCGCCGTGCAACCGGGCACGGTGCTGGCCACGTATACGCCCGGCGCACAGTGGAGTATGGCAGTCTGTGAGCGCATGCACACGAGACCGGACCTACGAGCGGCGCGTTCACAGGGCTACCATACGCGATGGCGATAAACCTAGAGTTATTAATTAATTTTTCCATTCGAAAGTACATCTCAAATTTCTTATCATCTTCCATTAGTTGCTTCTGAACGAGCGTATGAAATGCACCACAATCTTCTCTTTCTGTTAGCATGGGATGTACCCAATACCGTCTTTGAATTTTTTTATCGTCTTTTTTTAGCTTTTTATACATGTACCACGCGATAACACATTTTCTTTTTTTAACACTCAACATTTTGTACGTTCATGAAATGAAACCAGCGAATGAAGGCGGCACCCCCTTGACACCGGGTCGTGTACAATCCGTCTAGTGTGCACGGTCGGACGGCTTCTACCCGGCGTCGGCAAAAAACCGGGCCGCGTTGAAACCGGCTCGTGGGCATGAGGCCTAAAAGCTCATATGATCCAACCCGATTAATTTAACATACATTAACCTACCTAAGTATCTATTGCAGGCTCGGGTCCAAGATTTAGTCAGGGGGACCGATCTTAGCAGTTGGTATCGTTATAGATTTTAAAATTAGCTAATTCGGCCCCTGGCTTACGTCACGTTTTTCACGATGCCGCGTGAACTTCGTTTGAAATAGTAATATGTAATCATTTTTATGTTTATTTTTCGAAGATATATATTTTTACTCAATCAGTTCGGTCTCGGTCGCAGGTGTGCGTGCCGGCAGCTCCGGCGCTGTGTCTGCGGGCGCCGTGCGCGCCGCTGGGCGAGTGCCGGCGCGTGTCGGGGCGCCGCGTGGAGCCGCCCGCGCTGCCCGCGCCCGCCGCGTGCTGGCCCGGCGCCCGCGCCGCCCCGCCCCGCGGCTGCGCGCGCGCCGGCCTGCAGCTCGCGCGGGAGCGCCTGGCGCGCGGCGCGCACGTGGAACGCGCCTGCGGAGCGCTGCGGCGCGCCCTCGCCGCCACTCTGGCGGCCCGCGACCCGCCCGCCCCTCCGCTCGTTCTCCTCTGCGACCTCGCCGCCGACGACGATGACGCGCTCGATTTAGCCCTGGTCAGTGTTGATACACTTTATTTATAATTGTATGTATTTTGGATCGGCAGGGGCACCGGTCACTATGGGCCTACCTCAGGGATCGATATTAGGACCGTTACTTTTTCTAATTTATATTAATGATCTTCCTCACTTTACGAAGAATTTGTGCGAGACAGTATTATTTACAGATGACACCTCTTTACTGTTTAAAGTCGAGAGGGGTAATGATTGTTTTGACGATGTATATTATGCTCTCGACGATGTTCTACAGTGGTTTGATAATAATAATTTAAAGCTCAATTCAAATAAAACGAAATGCATAAAGTTTGCATCACCTAATGTGAGGCATGTCAGTACACTTATAAATGTAAATAGTGAAAAAGTTGAGTTAGTAGAATCGACAAAGTTCCTTGGTATTACACTAGATTCCCGACTGCAATGGGATCCTCATATTGATAGCTTGTCAAGTAGACTGAATTCTGCAGCTTTTGCTGTTAAGAAAATTAGACTCTTGACAAATGTTGAAACGGCAAGATTAGTATATTTTAGTTATTTTCATAGTGTAATGACGCATGGTATATTGTTATGGGGTTCTGCGGCTAACATTCAGGATATTTTTATCTTACAAAAGAGAGCTGTCCGTGCTATATATAATTTACGGTCTAGGGAATCTCGCAGAGAAATATTTTTAGAAATAAATATTCTGACTGTTGCATCTCAATACATCTATGAGAATATTATGTACACAAGAAAACATTACGATTCCTTCACAAAAAAAGTAGTGTTCATAATCTTAACACAAGAAATAAAGATAAACTTGCCGTTCCAAGCTTCAGACTTCAAAAAACCAGAGGATCATTTCTGGGTAAATGTATTGCTATGTTCAATAAAGTTCCACAAAATGTAATTGACCTACCCATAAATAAATTTCAAATTCATGTAAAGAATATACTTATGAGTAAAGGCTATTATAAAGTTGATGATTATTTTAAGGATCGCAATGCATAGAATTAATAGCCTTCGCTTTGTTCTAATTATATGTTCAACCTATGTCCTACAGACTTTGAAAGTTGTATTTACTATTGTGATAATACATATTATTTTGGTAATGATATGATTTATGTAAATGTCATTTCATAACTTATGATAAAAAGCTGGTAAGTTTCTTTCGCTTGTTCTTCTTGTCAGCTAAAAGACGTCCTGAACAAGTGGTAGGGGAAAAAAGTTTTTTGGACGATTCAAAAGTGCTTGTAATAGCCTACTCGAATAAAGATATTTTTCATTTCATTTCATTTCGATAGAGTGTTTGACGAATGACGTCCTATATATTTTCCACAGTGGGTGGGCGAGGAGGACGGCGTCGACGGGGAGAGCGAGGCGGGCGCCCTCGGGGCCGCCGTGCGCGCGCTCAGCGAACTGGTGTCGCGGCGGCGGCTGGCGCACCACCCGCTGCTGGGCGCGGCGCTGCGGCTGCGCGTGGCCCCCGCCGGCGCCCCGCCTGCGCCGCCCGCGCCCGCCGCGCGCTCCTCCCCGCCGGCGGCGCTGCTCGCGCTGGCGGCGCTGCTGCCGCTGCTGCTGCTGGCGGGGGCGGCGGGCGCGACGTTTCTCGTGCGCGAGCGTCGCGCCGCGGCGGCGGCGGCCGAGCGTTCCCGACGCTGCGACGAAGAGAAGTCGAATAACCTCCAGAACGAGGAGAACCTCCGGCGCTACGCGAACCCCCTGCGCGAGGAGCGCGCGCCGGACGAGCTGCCGCGCGCGCACACGCTGTACAAGGCGCAGAACGCGGACGCGCGCAACGACACGCCGCCGCGCGACAAGGAGCTGACGAAGCGCGCGCTGCCGCCCCCGGAGCCGCCGCCCCCCGCGCGCCACCCGCCCCCCGAGCGCCTCACCGTGCTCGTGTGACCGCCCCGTGTGATACTAGTGTAGCCCCCGCCCCGCCGCCCCGCCGGACGATCGCCCCTATTTATTGTATTAGAACGATGCCCGTTTTGTAAATATGTATTTTTGTAAATAATGTTAAAGAGTGTATTTTTGTATGTTTTTGAGAGATTATTTCGAGATGCGATTTGTACTTTTTTGTAAAGGTTGTAAAGTTGAATAAAAAAATAAAAGATTGTTTAAATAAAACTCTACGAAGTTGTATCCGTTCTTTTCTTGCATCGACCGCCTCGTCACATGTACATAAGCGGAAAAGCTATCTGACGCCAAATCGTAGGGGAAACCCGATCAAAACGCATATGTGAATTATAACATGATCTTATAATCGCTCGTTCTATTTGTACTTTGTCCAATGACCTTTGAAAAACCATAAAGTGAGGATATAGAATGTGATTTAACGATAATCTTTTCACGAAAACTAAACCATTATTTTACTACTATTGGTTTTATAATTTATAATGAGTATATGTCTGATAATTAATTAATAAACGAACTTACCTGTCCGTGAAATTATCCATCATCCGAAGAGATACGTAATCATCTGTATTTAACAACACAATGTAGTAACGCGTAAGTAGTACCACTCCAGCACTTTATTTGAAAAAATATGAAGTAAATAACCCGACTGCGTAAAAACGAATTTTAAAAAATACATGAGGAATGCCTTAGGTAGATTTGATTGGTAAAATTTGAATGGGCCCCGACTGTGAGTCGTTCTGTTCTGCATTAGAATTTATGATTTGTTTTATGTGTGTATCGATTATTAAAATATTTCAATTGTGTAGTTATTTAGTATTTCTTAACAGAATTCTAAACTACTGGGCTTGTTTCTTCCTTTTTAGTTTTTATTTAAGTTAATATTTTCATGTATTTTTTTAATATCGATTTTACGCAGTCGGGTTTTTTTTTAATTATTTATTTTTATTTTATACTTTTTAGTTACGATTCGTTGACTTCGTTATAAGATGGTAAATTTCGCAATCTAGTCATTTCATTGAGGGAGTTTGTTAAAAAACTTTAAGTCGTCATATATCCTAAATTATTATTTAAAATGAAAAATGATAAAAGGAACCTATAGATAATTTTAAAATACCTATTCAACGAAATCCCACTTTACATAGTTCATCTTTTTTTTTTCATTTTGACAATATGGCGTCTGGTTGTCGCTGTGGTGAATTTTATTATTGTCATGTCTTAAGTGACACTCGCAAGCTTAAGAAGAATCGATTGACGTAAGAATCGTTAAAATCGGCCAACGCATTTGGTCTCTAGAACGCCACATAGAAACACATACATACATAGACTGATAAACATATTACCCTCCTTTGCGTCGCGCAGTCGGATAAAAAAGACACATAAATATTTTACATAACTACATACAAAAGATGGACTTATCGATAGCCAGCGGTTTCTTAATGGCAACCTAGCATTGGATGAAAAAAACATAACAATAAATAGTAGATTGTGTATACAAGTAGGCAGATAAACTAATAACAATTTAAAAAGACGAAAATTTGGAACAGCGTTACTATCACGAATATATGATAATGTACGCTCAAAATTCTCAGACACAAACGAATAAGAGAACGCGAATAGTGAGAAAAAGAAAATAAAAAAAATCGTAAGAATACCCCTTACGATTGTAGGATGCGAAACCAAAAATGTATCAATATGAGCTCCTCCGTGCACGTTCGGAAGGACCATTAAGCCGCTGGCTTAATGGCTGCATCTGCAGTCGTTATCTTAATCGATTCGATTCCATCTATGGGGAAGGTACAATTCTCGGAGTATACACACAACTAGTTTTATACTACAATGGTAGCGATTCTGTGGCACGATGTTTTGCACAAACGAGGATAAATTTAATTTTAATCCTTGCAAATTGCATTGCATTTATAATTTAACAACCTTTTATAATCTAAATTAAACTTACTTCTGTTATAGAAGATTTATTTTATTTATTTATATAATCTTAATCGCCTAGTAAAATAGACAAAGGGCGGACTTCATGCCAAAGAGGCATTCTCCACCAGTCAACCAGTAAATATAGTACAGAACTTTAAGTACGGCGATAATCATATTGTAGGTTAAGAGCCATATTACTGCCCTCTGTGAGATTAAGTATTTTGTAGCGTCCACATTTCTCGACAACGAGTCCAGAGTGCTGTTTTGAAACTACGACCAAGCTATTTTGATAGTTTTTATACATTTTTTTAGTATTTGTGTGCGATTCGTTATCGATTCCCGAACATTTTTTTTATGAGATAGGGGGCAGACGAGCAGACCGATCACTTGATGGTAAGTGATTACCGTCGCCCATGGACACCTGCAACACTACAAGGGAGGCTACAACGCGCTGCCGGCCTTTGACATTTTAACATGACTGCACAAGAAAAGTAGTCTATCGTGTTTAACGTACGTGTGTGAGTTGTATTCTTTTTTTTTTACTCCACCATAACTTTGTGACGGAACACACCGCAATATAAACATGTATAATTAATATATCACCGTTACTTTAAGTAATAAATAAATAATAAAAACAACACTGAAAAAGCCAAATAAATAATGACAATACTTATGACTGTAATCATATCGCTTTAACTATTTCTTGAAACAACTGAATAAAAAAACGTAATAGTCCCTCCATCTCTCGGACTAGATGCAAAATTCATTGTATTATCCATATACTTATATTGTAGTAACTTAATACAGAGCAGCTAGTTTGCAAGCTTAATAACAGGCAGCGCTCATTTGACAAAAAAGAAGGTATAAAATTCACAAACGAATAGTTTTGGTTAGTAAGCGGAAATAGTATTTGAATATACTCGTATTAATGAAGTTTGTAATTAAATTTATTGATAATTAAATCTTCTTAAAAGGATCCTAATCCATAGTTATTGTACATTTCATTGTATTATCTGTATATTGTCATCATGCGCCCCTTGTCATCTGCATATAATCTGTACATACATAGCACACGGCTCTAATCATGAGTCATTATTGAGTAGTTTTTATGACAGAGTAAGCGAATTTGCTATTGACAATCCCGATGACGTTTATCTGGTTCTGGGAGACTTTAACGTTTCCCATGCCCGCTGGTTTAAGAACAATGATTCTATGGAATTGGATACAAATAACGATAACTTAGTCTGTCTCACTGCTGATTCTATGAATGTATCTTCGATGTCTCAATTTAACTCACAATTTAATCATAATAGTCGGCTTCTTGACTTAGTTTTTTGTAACGACCATTGCCTAGTTTCCTCCTGTGAGTATCCGTTGGTACCAGAAGACTTACACCACAAGTCTTTAATTATATCTTTAAAAAGTAGTTTCGTTCAGCCGCTTTTGACATTAAACAGTAAAAAACCGCAATATCACAAAGTCGATCTACATTCTATTAAGACGGCTTTGTTATCTGTTGAGTGGATAAAAATTTTATACGATTTATCAGATATTGAGAGTATGGTAAATTATCTTTATGATTTTATCGACGAGGTGGTCAATAAAAAAAAAATAATAAAAAAAATGTACCAAAAAATTAATTTAAATTTAAAACAAAAGTTTCCGCCTTGGTATACAATGCCGCTTATAAAATTATTCAAAGAAAAAAAATAAATTACACAGAAAATGGAAAAAAAATATTGCAACCAAATCGATTATGAAAATCTAAGAAGGCAAATGGCGATTTTCCTGCTAGAATGTTATACAACAACAAAACTTCAACAACTGGAACTGAAATTTGCGATGGTTTCAATCATCTTACGAAAGTCATTATCCTTCCAAATGTAACGCTCAATATACGTTAGATATTAATTCAGTCAATATAATTATTGATCGTGCTCTAAAAGTCTTAAAACAAGTTAATATATATAAGGGTGCTGGTTCGGATAATATTCACCCCATTCTGGTTCGTAATTGCGCTGAAGAACTCGCTGTTCGTCTCACTATAATTTTTCAAAAATCTTTAGAATGAATATTTTCCCTTCCAAGTGGAAAGCGGCTTTAGTGACACCATTCAAAAAAAAAAAAAAAACCTTTTTTTTTTAAGCTGACTTGATTTTGGTATAGGGTCCAGAAAATAGTGCTTTAGATCCCCCTTGTGAGGGGGGATCGTACCAACCCCTGAGAAGCAGGGGAGGCGCGGAAGAAAAGGGGAGGAGACCGGCGAACTTCTGGATGGACCCGGAAGTTCCTCCCCCTGAGATAGGAAAGAAATATATATTAATATAATGAAATGAGAAATATATAAATGATGATACATATAGATGAATAAGATATATATGATGCCGCGTGAGGGGTCCCCCCGCCACCCGGCAGCCCCAACCCAGAGAGGAGGTTAGGGTCACCAGGCGCCGGGGGCACCGGCACCGATAGAATATAAGATGAGGATGAAGAGTCGAGAGGTCTCGAAGGCCGCCCCCCCGCCCCGCGCCCGCCCCCGCGAACGGCGGCGGCCGCGGTGCGGGGGGGCGATCACTGAGTCCTCCCAAATGAAAACGGCAGGGTCAACCTGTGTTGACGCTACCACGCCGTGCCAGGGCGACTCTAATTGAATATAAGGATACTGAACTACAGAAAACTATGGTCCTAATGACCTGAAAATTAAGATGGCAAAAAAGAAAGATGGTATAATTAGTAGTAAAATAATCAACTTAATCAATCAACAATATTTCCGACTTCCCTAGACGAGGGGTCGGTGGTCGCCCTGGGTAGAGTGTGCGCGGACAGCGATGGGCCATCTCCCTTTCCCGCACCAGCCCGACCGAAGTATGGCGATCGCGGAAAGCGGAGGCGGCCGGGCCGTCTTGATCGTAACGCGCGATGGTGGTCGGTGTAGGCACTTCGCCTTCGCGGAAACCGAACTCCCGTATTTACACGGTGCAGAAACCTCGGCTCCGACGAGCTGTTATTTGGAGTCCGAGGGGGCCCCATAGGGGCTTGATGATTTTAAGATGATGATT